AGTACATAAAACCGGGGTTTCTGAGAAATGCTTAGAGCTTCTCTAGTTTGTTAGCTAAGACTGCACACATCCAGATTCACTTTTTTTTTTTTTTTTCCACAGCAGCTACTGCAGTTTTTAAATATTATCTACAAAACTTTGCAAATCTGGGAAACGGTAGCAACTGCAAACCAAGGAAACACGCAGAACATGAGCATTGTATCTGGTCTGGCAGAACAGGATTTTCTAAGCAACACATGCAAAGACATTTAATATGTGCATAAAAGTTTGCACCAAGTACAATTATTTTAAAAAATCCTTGTCATTACAAGCTGTCAAGCCAGAAGAACTAGACAGAGAAATAAGAGAAGCATTTGTGGAAACTGTAAGTAAAAGGATAATTGTTATGAAGGTTACTCATTTAGCTTTGAGTGATTGCTTCTGCAGGACTTGGAAGTTAAAATCTCTCCCCAAGCATTACATGACATACTTATATACATTATGATGGATTTCTCTGAAATGTTCAAGAGGAGATACCACCAAAAGAGAGCTGTATTCTGGGACAGCAGTTTCTATTTTATTAAACAATACTTCCAGTCATTTAAGAATTCAATTTGTTTCTTCCTAAACTGTGAATTAAAAATTTGCAGAACATGATAGGAAAACCCATCAACAAGTGTCATAGGGGATAAATAGAAAAGGAAAGACTTTCAGACTTCAAGGAATGCAAGGAACTTTACATAAAACCCAACAACTGAACCATTCTTAGAAAGGCTAAGAGGTGAAGAAGTCAATAATTCAAGCAAGGATCAACAGACTGGCCATCAGAGGAGAAAAAAGAAAAAGACAAAGCAGTTACATAACCATATATCATTTCAGAAGAAAGAAGTAAAAAAAATGTCAGAATGAATTACACAACCGTAACACTAAAAGAAAACAACAGAGAGCAGACTTCTTTTTAAACATTCAGTCTTCAAACATACTTTGCAATGAACAAAAATCAAGGAGCTGCAACTGGTGCATATTTTGCGATGAGAAAGGGACATAGTAGTTGTGGAAAACGTCCACTTTCAGAAACTAAGCAACTATATGGAATTCAAATACCAGCAATAGCACAGACACTGCGGTAAGGCTTAGAGATACCCACCGATTCTTCAGTAGAATGCGCCTGTAGATATCAATTGCCTCTTGGTAGTGGGCCCGCAGGTAGTGGATAGATGCCAAGCTAAGCTGATCTTCTGTAATATCTTGCAGATTCTGGTGAGAGCTCATCAGTTTCTTTTCATCATTGAACTAAAAAGAGTGTGACACATCCTCAGACGAGTTCATAAAGAAAAATATTTTAATTAGCTAGATTAGTTTTCCTGGTAAACAGCAGGTGATTAATATCAAACATGCCAAAAAACTCTGTTACTTTAAAGTTAATTTGACCAGTGGAGAAAGCCAAACATTAAAGAAGGAGATCAGTTCAAACTGGATAAATGTTAGGCTAAAACTAAGCACACATTTTCCTTGAAAGTGTGATTTAAATATAATTAGATGTCACGTGCTTTGATGGATAAGAGGTAAAGAGCTGAATTACTTATTTCACAAACGGAATTTCGCAACACAACATTTGACTGCTATTATTCAAGCCAGCAAAAATTCTGCTGTTTGCATATCCAAATCAAATTTCCACGGATAGCAGAAAAATCGCAAGACTTGCCAACGCATATGCTCTAATTTTCACAAGACTTCTTTACAGCACTAACAAATTCTCTTTCTCTGGCCCCTTAAAATTTCAGTTTAACTAAATGATTTTTTTTTAAAAACATTGCTGAATAGCTCATAACACACACATACAAGATAAAAAACAGGGATTAAACATACACATTATATTTGTATTACAATAGTAAAGTTGTGGCTGTTTACCTAAGCAGTCTATTTGAGTCGCTTATTCCAGTGCTTCCCTTCGCTGGTTTTGCTGTTTCAACAATAATTATGAATTTCTCTTACACACAATTTCTAATCTTATGTATTTGTTTTCGTACCTATCATCTCAGTTTTCTTCAAATTCTTTTCCTCCCTTTTGAGCCAGTCACAAAATGATACTCCAGATAAAAAGCAAGATAAGTTGCTCAACAGAACTAAAGGCGATGGGCTTCATAGTTTGATAAAGCCCTTTATTTCCAATGACTAACTAGATAAGGAGAAGTTAATTCCCAGCTCATCACAGACATCTGTGCCAGTGCCACTATAAAAACAGTTTAGGATTTCTCTCTTAAAATTAAGAGAGATTTAAGTAAAGAGAATCTGACATCAAAGCTAACATTCAGGATTTTTACTTTCTTTCAACTCAGTGTCCTCAGTAGCAAAATACTTGTTAAATATAACACAGGGTGGTACAAAACTTAATTTAAGGGAAGGTAGTTATGTGTGGTGAAATAAGCATTTAATTGTTGTTGAAATTAAAGTAAATTTCATGCTATTAACAGTATGACTTCCTGGATACTGAATTACTTAGGAGGATCAGTAATAGCATACACACCATCTTGGTCAAATTGCCAAGTGTAAGAGAGCTGCAAGTTAGGAAAACTTGGCACGCTTCAAAAAAAAAAAAAAATAGTGGCTTATACATTTCTGATTCTATTAAGGTTCCAGGCTCCTTGTGATCAAAAAATGTCATCAGGTTCCCGTTGTATGAGTTATGTGAAGTGTACTGGTAAGACTTTCCTTAGAAATATGCTGGGGGCATCTATTCTGAGATCATGTTTTCACACTTACTTTCTCCTCCACATTTTAATTCAGGAGGGTGGTTATTGAAAATGTTTGTTCTTCTGCCACAACAGACATTTTAATTATTCTGCCAGGTTGCCAGCATAAATTACACCTTACCAAATTGAAAAGAAAACAAACAAAGCATGAGTGAAGAAAAGACATCATACCTTATGTGCCAAGTGAAAGAGCAGACGGTTCTGGAGACTACTCTTCGGTGCTGAAAGGAAAATTCAGTAAGTATTGCTGTAAAGAACAACTCAGGATATCTATTTTTAACTCTCTTTCTCAACAGACATGAATGCTCCCATATTCTTCATTAAGTAGCCCAAGTACAGTCCTTCAATAAAAGCCTGTGCAGGTCATGCCTCAGGGCAGGTTCTACCAATATTAGAGTGGTTTAAAGGTCTTCCTCCTTCCTATATTCTTTCTCTGACTGTTTCTTTTGAAATCCCTGCTGAAAATAATTTTTCATTGACCTCTGTCTTTCATGAAGCTTAAAACTTTTAGGAATCACACTATCATTTCCATGCAGGGATTTCTGGATAATTCTCTGGGGTTTTTTTTATGACACACAAGTGTAACACCTTTTCAAAATAAAAAGCAGTAAGAGATAAACTCATGATCAAGGCTCCTTCTATGACGTGTCACATTTGAAATAAGTTGTGATTTATAATTCCAGGAATCTTTTCAAATTCCAGTGTACTGAAAAACCCAGTGCTGCTAACACTTTGTTATGTATGCACCTTATATTATACTTTGACACTAAGTTAAATATGAATCAGCAGTGCCCTGGCAGCCAGGAGGGCCAACTGTATCCTGGGGTGCATCAGGCAAACCATCACCAGGCGGTCGAGGGAGGGGTTTGTCCCGCTCTGCTCTGCACGGGGGCAGCCTCACCTTGAATATTGTGTGCAGTTTGGGGTACAATATAAAAAAGATATTAAGCTATTAGAGACTGTCCAAAGGAGGGGAATGAAGATGGTGAAGGGTCTTCAGGGGAAGCCGTACGAGGAGCAGCTGAGGTCACTTGGTCTGTTCAGCCTAGAGGAGACTGAAGGGAGACCTCATTGCAGTTACAACTTCCTCATGAGGGGAAAAGGAAGGGCAGGCACTGATCTCTTCTCTGTGGTGACCGGTGACAGGACCTGAAGGAATGGCCTGAAGTTTTGTCTGAGGAGGTTTAGGTTGGATATTAGAAAGAGTTTCTTCCCCCAGAGGGTGGTTGGGCACTGGAACAGGATCCCCAGGGAAGTGATCACAGCATTAAGAGTGACAGAGTTCAAGAAGTGCTTGGACAATACTCCGGCACATGGTGTGACTCTCGGGGATGGTCCTGTGCAGGGCTAAGGGTTGGACTCAATGATCCTTGTGGATCCCTTCCGACTCAGCATGGTTCCATGATTATGTGATTCTAATATTTCTCCTGTCTTTAGGAAAAAAAGGCACACAAAAGAATCCTACAGTCAAAGCAGATAAGACTCAAACTAAGATAGGGTGAGAGATTTAAGGGAGATACCTCCTTTCTGAAGCCAGTAAAGTTCATGAAATTTCTCACTCCAGCAGGATTAGGAATTCCATTAAACTCACTCCATATGACAAAAATTGTTAACTGACGAGCTTTAAGTCACTAGAGCCTTTTGCTTCACTGAGAGTGACAAATGTCCTCATCCAACAGAGCTATTAATTTCTTTTGCAAGCAATCTCCCAAAAATCCTTCCCTTGTTTCCTGTATTTTTTTTAGCCTACTCAGTTAATGAGCACTCTCATTCCGGCTCAGACCAACCAGCTGGCAACCTATGTTCCACAGAAAGGGTGTACATGGAATCTTTACAAAAAGCAGAATTACTTACTGTGTTCATAAGGCCAGGAAAGTGCACAGTTAGCAAAGCAATAGCCTGTAGCACAAGGCTATAATTCTTCTGACGTCCTAAACCATGAAAGAGGGCTCAAACCACCAAACCCTCTTTCCCTCCCTCTAAGATGGATTTTTTTTTTTTAAGCAATTTAGGGAGAGACTTCTAGACTTCTTACTCTTTCTCCACATAGTAAGTAAACTTTGTAAAACAGCGGACAACGCCAAAACCCAGGCCATTCTAATCAGACTGGCAGCGCAAGGCTGCCCATCTATTTCAACAGGCAAAGCAATTATTTCTCCCCTTTCCTCTTTCCCAAGCTGTGTTATTTAAGCAAAACAGAAAAAAGAGGACAATGAATTGTGTCTTTAAAGAGCTGCTAAAGCAGAAAAGTCCCAAAATACAAAGGCGGTATGAGAGCATTCTCACAAAACCACATCTTGTAAGATACTTCTAACGGACCAAGTTATTAAGAAGCTAAATGGTCTTCAGGCTAGGATATATGTGGGAATTCTCATTAGCCTAATTGTTATAGAACAGAAAGTTTTTATGATCCATAATCAATATTGTATAGGTAGTAGGAGCAGTATAACTGACATGATGGTATTGATATTTCATCCACTGAGTTAGAAAGTGAGAGTACCTTAATTTAAATGCAAATTCTTCACTCCTTATGTGCCCCAGCTTTAACTGATATGTTTTAATATCAAAATTTAGAAGGGTTGCACATGGACTCCACATGTGCTTTTGTGTGAAACTTAAACCACAACCATCCTTTACAATTCAAAACATTTGGTCATCAAAGATTCCAAAAATACAAGCATGACAGATTGTGGGATTTACACTGAAAATAACATATTGTATAATCACAGTACTATGGATAAAGACACCAATGTTCCTCTTTTGAGTAGTTTTTCCTTTTTTTTTTCTTTTGAGTGGGTCGTAGCATTGATTTCACTGTGAAAATGGTCACTTGCAAGCAATACTCCCTCAAGAACCTAAACCAAGGAATTCTTGTTTCACCAGTCAACCAATGACTGCAGGCTGCCTTTGTAAACCTGGTATCTGATCTGACATCAAAATTATTATTTACTTCTTAGCAAAAGCTGGAGGGTTATACCATGTTATTTACACCTAAAAACAGGCAAAAGATGAAATCTGAGTTTTGATGGTGCGCATGGATATACAAAGGGAGGAAAAAATGTCCTGCTTCATAAGATCTGATATGATACTGTCTATCTGATATTCTTTAAAATAAGATGCTTAAAACCCCCCACAAATATAGCCCTGTCAATAGAGTAAGCAGAAATATGGAGACATTAAATATCAGCAGTTACTTTTCTCTCAGCACCAAATGCATTTTCTGAGGAAGACAAGGAAACATACGGACATACAAAAAAGGACAGATTAGTTTCCAGAAGAATGTGGTTATGAATATTGGATAAAGATGTTGTCAGTCACTGAAGCAAGAAGTGATACAACTGCCTCATCAAAGATAATGATTTTTAAGGGACATTAGGCTTGTTCTTTTATTACTCTCTGCTGCTACAGAATTTTATTGTCACTGATCTATTAATGCTACAACGAAGCACAATCTTCTTTTTCTGTTCTACTTTTTCAAGATAATGACTGTATTTTTTTTTTTTTAATCAGTAGTAAGCAATCTAGGGGTCATAACAAACATGATAACAATGCTGCATGGCAACAAACTGGACCCTGCTCCAGGTCTAGTACTGACTTTGTGCTGAAGCACTGAGGTAGCTGAATAGAATATATCTCTTTCCATCTATGAAACACATCGATACTCCCATACTAGAATTTTTGTCACGATCAGTGCTGTTTCAACAGGTGCTAAAGTCATAGCTATTAAGGGTCTTAAAGATGTTCTGTATATTTTTATGTACTGATACTGACCAGCACCTAGTGAAATATTTGTTAAAATATAATAAACAGCTACAATAAGAATGAAGACAATTATCTTCAAAAATTATTAAACATTAAGTTAAACTCACTGGAAATGGCAGCTCAGACTCTTGGTGGGTTCCATATTGCTGCCTCAGGCAGTAAAAATATGATGAAATAGTCATGGACAGTGTGGCATTGGTGCCCTCTCATGAGAGTGCAAGGCAACGCTGGTCATGCATCCAGCATTAAAAAATCCCATCTAACAGACATAATGCATATGCTATAGCAGGACTTCACACATCAACAGGCATAGAATACACCTTAAACACAGAGCAGGAACTGGCAGGAATGGAGCAGGGCTGAGAAGGCTCCATCCTGACAGTACAAAATATTACCAGAGTAAGCCTTATTCTCCTGTCCCTGAAAAACAATGCCCTGCTCACCTGAAGACTGTAGCTCAGGATATGAAGCCCTCTGTGGCTCAAAACCACAGTTTCACCAGTGAAGAGAAAATGCAAGGGTGTGGGAAAAATGTTCAAAAAAACCCGTGGTCCACAGTGAGGTTCACACTTACACACACTTGAATTGCTCAACTGTTCAGAATTTTCTTGAATGAAATTTACAGAGGGCATTCATTAAAATTTTCCCATTCCCACAATACTTAAAAAGTGTTCAGCTGTGTTCAGTTACTTACAATATATACACATTTCACAGCAGTCATGCCTAAGCACAGTAAGTTAAAGATCAACAACGTAATTATTTCTGGTCTCTAGCTTTCACTATATTTTAAAAAACAAAACAAGGAAACAAGGTTAGTAGCTTTTAAAGTTTAAATATGTGATATTTTCACTTGTGCGCTTTGGAAGTTCCATATATGAAACTTCTGGTTCGAAACCACAGCTAAATGCACTGAAAATTACTACTCTTCTCAAGAAATACAGCACAAGCAGCAAGGAGATAATTTTGCATGTAGCTGAACACGCAATCCTAAGTAATAGAAAACTCAGTAACTTTTCCATGCCCACTTGTATCTGCATATTTTCACTGGTGACAACTATCTGACACCTGGTAAACATTACTACATGCATAAGCAAAACCGGTTTGGAAAATGTCATTGTTCTTGCTAACCCATCTCTGTTATGCTTTTGTACAGTATTGGTCCTTCCAGTATAGGCTGTAAAACTAGAAGTTCTCTTGTTCAGTTAAATCACATTCAGATCTGACACATGCAGAGTTGTGAAGAAGCAAAGCAATTACAAAGCTTTTCCCATCAAAAATCAGAAGGGGTTAAAAAAAAACCCCAACTTTAAAGACTGCTTCAACAATACAACCCTGTCTGTGCATGAATCTTAAATTTAATTGTACAATTCCATTTATCCTAAAAAGACTGCTTTTCATAACAGACTTAACTGCAGCCCCACTTATGTGCACATTTTGTGGTTTAAAAGAACACTTTTAGTTCTTATGTCTTTCTCAGTGCAGTGCAAGCCAACAGCTTCTGAGAGCACTATGCAGACTTCTAAACACTTGGATCAGTTGCCAGGATCATGGTCCCAGTGTGTAAGGCTGAGTTTCTGTTCTTTGGCCTTTGCAAGGCACAGGAACCGTGAGTGCAACAGAGGAGTATCAGCTTCTGTAATTAAAAAAATAATGACTTGTTATAATTATTATTAATTATTAAGCCAAGATGAATGCTTTCAGCCTCATTCTCTCACGACTAGATCGGCTACCACACAGCATGGAAAACATAAGTGCAGCCAACGTATGAGAGCACAGATGCAAAAGGAGAAAACAAAGCATCACTTGGTAGCTTTACTATGGGATGACTATAAAACAACAGTAGCTGACTTGGAAGTAACTCTGCCTTCACCTCAGATGCAGGAACATTAGTAACTGTAATGTAAGCAGACAGCAGGGAAAAAGGAGAAGCCAGAAATATCTGACAGGAATTTGGAAGAAAGCCTAGAAGAGGTAAAATACAACAGTAGTGAAAAACCTCCAAGGAGGAATTTTTCTTTATTGCCTTTTTGCTTTACTTCTTAGGTTATATTTGCAGTAATTCTTTTTTATATATATATTCTTTTGATATACAGATTTATTCTTTCTTAAGACAATCATAGGATCACAAAATGGCTTGGGTTGGTAGGGACCTTGAAGATCACCTGGTTCCAACTCCCCTGCTGTGGGCAGGGACACCTTCCACTAACCAGGTTGCTCAAGGTCCCGTTCAACCTGGCCTTAAACACTTCTAGGAATGGGACATCCACAGCTTTTCTGGGCAACCTGTTCCAGTGCCTCACCACCCTCACAGTAAAGAATTTCTTCCTAATATCTAATCTAAACCTATCATCTTTCAGTTAAAAGCCATTCCTCCTTGTCTTGTCACTACATGCTTTTGTTAACAGTCTCTCCAGCTCTCTTGTAAACCCCCTCTAGGTACTAGAAGGCTGCTATAAGGTCTCTCTGAAGCCTTCTGTTCTCCAGGCTGAACAAATCCCTATTCTTTCAGCCTTTTTTCCTTGCAGGAGAGATGCTCCATCCCTCTGATCAACTTGGTGGCCCTCCTCTGCACCTGCTCCAGCAGCTCCATGTGCTTCCTGTGCTGGGCACCCCAGAGCTGGATGCAGCACTGCAGGTGGGGTCTCACCAGGGCAGAGTAGGGGGGCAGAACCCCCTCCCTCGATCTGCAGCCCAGGCTGCTTCTGATGCAGCCCAGGATCCACTTGGCTTTCTGGGCTGTGAGTGCACATTGCTGGGTCATGTCCAGCCTCTCATCCACCAGCACCCCCAAGTCCTTGGGGTGCTCTCGATCTGTTCATCCCAGAGTCTGGACTGATACCGGGGGTTTCCCCCACCCAGGTGGGCCTACTTTCTGAGCTTGTCCAGATCCCTTTGGATAGCATCCAGTCCTTCAGGTGTGTCACTGCACTGCTCAGCTTGGTGTCATCTGCAAACCTGCTGAGGGTGCACTCGATTCCTCTGTCACTAATGAAGATATTAAATAACTCTGGTCCCAATATGGGCCCCTGAGCGACACCACTGGTCAGTGATGCCCACTGGGACTCTGAGCCATTGACCATTATCCTTTGGATGTGACCATCCAACCAATTCCTAATCCACCGATCAAATCCACCCCTCTCCAATTTAGAGGGAAGGATGTTGTGTGGAACCATTTCAAAAGCTTTGCAAAAGTCCAGAGGGGTGACACCCATAGCCCTTTCCTTACCCACTGATGTGGTCACTCCATCATCGAAAGTCAGGCAAGGCAGGTGAAGCCCTGCTGTCTATCCCAAATCACCATGAACTTTTAATTAAGTAATGACAAGCTAAGAGAACAGTTCACATCTGTTATAAAATAAACACAAAACTTTGATCCACAAGAGATTGTGGACTATAAAGGCAATAACTACCTCATGGCTTTTAACAATAATTTCCTAATTTTTAAGTGTCCTACATCTTTTTCCTCAGATGGTTAATAATAATTTTCTTAAGTAACAGCAACACTACATGGCAAGAAGGAATTTGATTTGATTTCTAGATATTTACATGTCTGTGTGGAAAATCTATTCCAGAAAGCTAGCTGACATTAATGTTCCCTTTCACACAGAGATTCTATTACTGCAGAAATTTAGAATTATAGCTGAAACTAAATTAGTTCTCCTTAATTTGTTTTAGCACTATGCTACTTTCAGGGGCTTAGCATAACTGCAGCAATAAACAGCACACAGTATGCAAGAATTCAGACAAAATAATCCCAAAATACCAATGGTAAGCACCCCAACATTAACACCACCTATGATTTTTCAGCAGTGTTCAAGGCAGCATTGGATAAATGGTGTTCTTTTAAAGACTTCACCTGTTGTGTTAATACTGAAGGAAATATTTTGCTTCTTTGAGATCTTTGCAAAACCATAGAAGAGACCACAAGATGATATGGCCTCAGTTGTCAATAATGTATTACGAACAGCCATCATTGATGCAATCCTAAGATGTTAAAAAAACCCCTAAAACAGGATCCAACTTCAACAAAAATAAAATGGTTCAAACTCAGTATAGGAAAGACTGAAGCGACGGGAGTGGAAAGGGGAATATACCACGCTTGGAAGCTTTCAGTGGAAAAAGGACAAGTATTACAAATCTTCAGCTATGACTCCTGACCACCAAGCTTAAGTAGTCAGAAATCATCAGTATTACAGTACTCATAGGAAAGGTTTAGCACCTCATTATAAAAACTGGGATGCTGTTCCTTCTTAAACAATTAAATAAAATCAGGAGCTGAGAGAACTAATGTGAGCACTCAGTTATTTTCTGTTCCCTCTCTCAGCAACACTCCCTATGTCTTGCACTCCTTTCTTAATGTTCCTGCCCTCGCCTCCAGCACCCAAGTACCACTAACTGTACCCCCTACCCTGCCACTCACCAGGCTACCATTAACTAATCTGAAGGGGTATGAAAAAATTAACCTTCCCTATCTCACAGCTCACAGTTAATCAAGCTGCACACCCAGCTGTGTATATGCCATCTCTAGTATGGACTATTGTAATTCACATGACGTGAAGCTGATGACAATGACTCCAGCTGGTACAGGATGCAGCTGCTTGCTTCCTCCATGGTTTAGGTCACAGTGACACGTCGAGCTCTACTGCCCATTGATTTTTACATTTCACTTCAAGTCCTAGATTGCAATCTCCAAAGCTCAAATTTTTGGTACATTAAAGATTAAATTATTTGTGAATGCTAGAAATTTGCACACCTCTTGAACAATACAAATCACAAAGCTCTGCATGAGATTTTTTTACAGTTGGAAACAAAACATTTCCAGTTGTGTGATCTGAGCTCAGCATGAGCTCAGTCCTCTTTCTGATGATTTTAAAGAGATATGAGAATCTAATTATTTTTAAAAAATACTACAAAGTTGTCCTTTTGCATAGTCCTCCTTCACAGCAGAAGAAAGTAGATATTATTCCCTCTCTATTTTCAGCCCAAGACAAGACGACTAATGAAAGAAAGAAAAAAACCCATAGTTCAATAAGAGTTTTATCCTAAAAAGGCAAGAGTGAGAAGTTGACTGAGATATCACTCCTATTAACTCTAGTTAGAAAGCACTGAGATACCATGGTTATGGGAAACAACATAAATCACAAAGACACATAAAAGTGATGGGCAACAAAATTAAACTACAGAAACATTTTGAGGCAGTAAAAATTGCCTTGGAATCTAAATTCCATTCCTTTAAATGATCCCATGCAAGTTCAGATAAAGTAGAATCGTAATAATGTGACTGCAGTGAACTCCATGCCTTGAAGAATCAGATACCTGGTATCTGACTTATAAGGCAAAAAGACCACCCACTAAGTCACTTGAACTATATAAACAGAGTTCTTGTCCACATCATGGAGAGCGCCGTATACCCTCAGACGCTTATTTTTTGATAATTTCACTAGCCTAATTTGCTTCATCTGCACTGGATCAGAGACACAGAATCAGTCAAAAGAAAAGTAACTTTTGTTGCTAGTTGGTGTGTGCTGGGGTTTGTATTTAGAAATTAGTAAGAGGAATGATTTTCCAGATGCTTCTTTCAGTTCCAGCTGCTCCACATGCCCAAGGTATTTTTAGGAAGCAAACTACATCACAACTGTCCTGGTAAAAGAAAGTTAGAAAACCAAGTCCCCAACAAAAACCCAAACCCAAAAAACTTTGGTTGCACGGATCCTTTATTTCTATGAAAGTAAGGCATTGCATACTTTTTCTGGAAATCACTTTCAGTTTGAGACAATAAGCAGTCCTTTCCAACAGAGACAGACATCTCACCTTTCAAAGCTGCTTGTTCTGCTTGCGTGTACATCCCCAGAAAGAAGTACGTACAGGCAAGGTTCACCCAAACATCTGGATTGCAATTTGGTTGTTTGGTTAAGGCCTCATATTCCTGTAACAGAAGAGAGAATTGATCTTCAAAAAATGTGTAATAGCACATGTTTTTATTGAATATCATTCTTTCTTTCACCATTTTACAATGTATCATTAAATTACTGAGATCAAACAACTTATTCAGAAGTTCATTGAAGTTCTTACAGCAAAATTATTACATCTTAAATCTAAGATATGTCCTTAACTCTTTTTTGTTTACAGCAATATAATGGACAACAGAGACAAGCAGTGCTATAAACCTCCATTGTGTGAACATGATTCCTGTCAATACTGAAGTTATAGAGATATAAAAAATATTGTAAATATATTGCTTACATTTATAAAACCCAATATACATATAAGTTATAAAGACATCAATATAACCAACTTTTCTTCAGTCACTTCTAATGCTTTCCAAAGTTCTCCTCCAGTCAAAGCCTGGGAGTCATAAACACCAGGGAAATCTCTTTGTGAATATGTACTGGAGTAAGTGTTAAACAGGTTTTTGTAAAACCTATAGGTAGTGTCTTATTGTATATTTAACCTGTGGACTCCAACGTGTGTACTAAATCTGAGGTTGTGCAATATAATACCTCAATTGCAGGAAGAAAATCTGTTTTGGTATTATTAACAACTAAAATAAATATTTTTAAATAGTTTTTATTTAATCTTTATCTCCTCTTTTTTTACTTTCTATTTTTTGTATGTTTTATAGTTACATATTAGTACAATAGTTCACATATATAATTTATAAACGTATAGATGTTTGGGGGTATATAGATCGGGGGGGTGTGCTCAAAAATTTTTTATTGATAGGGATGCATGAACAGAATTGTTTGGAGACCACTGCATTAAACCACAAGCCTATAAGTTGGTACAGGGCAAATTCAAGATTTCCTTATAAAGATTAGTAAATGATAGTAAATATTACTAAATTGTGCCTAACTTTACCATTTCCCACTTTAAGATTTACAGCCAACAGCTACAGAAAGCCACTAGATACCATATTCTGATATTTCTTGCGCATCCACATTCATTCCAGACATTCCACAGAATATTCTGAGTTGGAAGACACCAGCAAGGATAAAGTCCAACTTTTAAAGGAATAGCCTGTACAGGGATCGAACACACGACCTTGCTGTTATTAGCACCGTGCTCTGACCGACTGAGCTAATCTCAGGTACATATCCTTTAATACTGCCACATAAACTGCTTAGTTTCTTGTTATTTGTGAAACAGCAAAAATTTAACAGATTAATCTTTCAATCTATTTTTTTAAACAAAAAAAATTTTGCAGCTACTAAACAATGACATTCCTGAAGATAAACATCTTTGCTCAGTGTAACAACAGGTACTAAAAACAGAGGCGGGGAGATCTCTCAATGCCATTTTTTTCCCTCTGTCACTTTTTGATAAATTATTAGGAAGAACCTAAAGTGAAAGTGAAAGTGCCTGATGCTGGTGCTCCTGCTCTCCATCCATCCACATCCAACAGGCAACATAAGGCAAAGCAGGCAGAGTCACACAATGTTCTCAGAAGACCTGCTGAAACAGTGTCATCCACATACTCCCAATTACCATCAGCCTCTCATCTCTCCCAGCAACACAACCCTTTGCTGAGTCTGTACTTGTCCTCCAAACATATGAATTGGAATTTCCCTCGACCTAGAGAGAGTTTAGCAGACTGAGCCACTGGTAGTGAGAGACTTCTTACCTCTATGCACATAGCACTAGATAAAATAAGCCATGCCCAAAGGACAGTGAATCCCAAGTACAGAAATATGCTGACAACAATAAAGTTTATAGTTTGCAAGGAAAAAGAATTTTTTTTCTGTTGCTAAGTGAAAGTAAACTGTAATCCCAAACAGAGAAGGTACAGGCAAGGAATGCCCTTAAAAGCCAGCTCAGTCTTGCTGGTACTTCAGGGACTAGCTATCCAACTATATTTCAAATGGATAAATAAATTTTAAAAAACAGTTATAATAATAGAAAACTTTTACATAGAGGCCAACCTTTCCTACTGAGGCCAGTTTAATCTTGACAGAGATCTGTCATGGAGCTCTGAGAGACAGGCCACTGCTGTTTATTGGGACCATCTGGAATCTTTCAAAATCCATTCAGATTAAACGCACCCAAAGGTCTCTTTCAGCTAGGGCTTCAGGCAGATTAATTAGAAAAGACAAAGTGCATAAACACAAATCAAGTTCTGGCTTGGCCATTCAAAGCAAGCAGTAACTAAAGAGTGCTTGAGCTGTACCAACATGGATCTATAGAAACACAGGAAATAAAAATTAGGACCATTAGTGCTCCTTATCCTGTAGTTCTGAGCCTTGTGTCCAGACTCTCTGCTCTTGTCCCTTTCCTCACTGAAATGCATTCAACATCAGTGGTTCAAAGACTACTTCACAAGGGCTTTTCCCGCTCCTCTCCAAATTAACCAACAAAACCAAACAAACTAAATACTCTGAAACCCTTCCTAACAGTCAGCCTTGTGGCATCCTTTTGCCATCCAGGAGTACAACTTCTTGCTATTCACCCTGCTCCACCTCATCCCCCTATCATGAACACATGCGGTTTTCCTCAAAAGCAGCCTGCCAGGATGATTGCCTACAACTACAGACACAATGCTGAGGCCATCTCAGTGCCCTCATCACTTGTCTGGATTCTCCAACTCTATAAACACAGATCCCGAAAAGCCAATAAACAGGCCAGCTATACAGCTGCCCCACAAGTGCTCAAAGGAGGTGTGGAGATACCCATCATAACCTGGCTAGAGTAATAACAGAGAAGCCTAGAAAACTCCCACAGCTAAAAATCCATCTTCTAATTTGAGCTTCAGCTGTCAGTAACTTGAACGTACCTGTATTATAACACTTCCCACAGAACTACTCAAGCAAGACCAGATACTACTCATGGATAAATCATTACCCTAGTACTGTCCTAGTCCTTCCATGAGTTACTATCTAAAATTATCGTTAGCAAAGTCAGGGTGGCAATAGGTCTTGTACATTGAAAAGGTGGAATGGTTCCTCTCCTAGAAGGGAGATGGCAGACTGGAGAGTCTGTCTGCATGTAGTTTGTGAGATTTTGACAGAAACAATGCATTAAAGGCTCTGGCCCAGGGATCATGCTTTGCTCTCATGTGTGCAGCTGAGGGGCCAAAATGGCATTACCATGTCTAACAGCTGTACCATGATAGAATCCTGTGTGCTTAAAGCCCAGTCAGAGGGTGCAGACTGCAAATGTGAAATTTGTTCTTGAATCCAACCAAGCAGTGCACCTGCCCATCCCAATTCCTCTCCTAAATTTTAAATACCTCAAATATATGTATAATATTATATAGATATAATAATACCCTCCCTTTCCTCAGCCCCAGCTGCTTCAATTTACCAGATCAGGCAGCTTAGAAACAGAATCATTGGACTGATGTTCTGATTCTGGTCCTTGGGTGACAGGGAGAAATTTTTCAGGAAAGGTTTAAGATTAGAGCTATGAACAAGTCAAGGCAGAAAGACAGGTGAGTTTTTCTCCATTAGGGACAATAGATGTGGAAGACTCCAGAAAACTAGGGAAGCTCTGGTTGCCATATGATGCCAGGAAGACACAAGCCACTTAGTGTTAGTAAAAATAAGTTTGTCAGAGAAGAAAGTGAGTCAGTCCCCAGAGAAGGGCTGCACTGTGACTGCTGGAAGAGTCGAGCCCAGCGCAATACCATTTGTAAACTGGTGTACGGCGGTAGGAATGATCCTATCAGACCAGTGTCAGTGGCATAATCTTTCAGAAAGGCATCTACTACTAAGGAGGGGAAAGCATGACCCTCATGAAGCTGAGGTTAGTGCTCTACTTAGAGCATCCTTGACTGTTTTTTGTGTGCCTGTGGTAAGAGAATGTGAATTCTCTCACACGAATGTGACAGAGATTTTGCTGTCACACTTTCTGGAAATATTCTTGGAACTGAAGGTCTGTGTGTTTTTCACTTTTTCCCCATTTCTCCCAGTGATGGATGATGGTCACCTCACCCCAATTCCCAAGCTTGTCCAAAAGTTGCTGTGCAACCAACACTGCGAAAGTATCATTATAAATGAAAGGATCGAACAGCATAATTTCTGAAGACCCTCATAGGTACCCCATAGATATATGGACTACAAACCATGAACTGTGAATGTAGTGACACAGACTATGTGTTGTCACCAGAAGGCACACATAGGCGAGTGAATCATTTAGATTGTGTGCAATGTCATTCTGGAGAATTCTGCAGAATCTTCGACCCACAGTATTTTATTTACAGTGCTCTTGGCACTCCCTAAAGAACGCTCCAAGATCTCAAGTGTTAAGATAATCAAGGAATTTGCCCTTGAGAATACAGCAACAGTGCCTTTGTAAGGCAGCAGAGGAGATGCAGCATTATACTTCAACCGTGAAGCTGATAAGTGAAAGGCAGTTCTGTCTGCACAGTCAGTGGAGTGATTCCCTCAGGCTTAGGAATTACAACTACAGTGTTCAGTCTCCAAAGAAACTAGGCTGAGATGCACCGGCTCATTTCCCACACGTGACCACAAAAATAAGAGACCTATCAGGACTCGTCACTGTGCCAAAAATCAATCTTAAATCTGAAAAGATAGGCCCTGTGATTTCTCGCTTAAAACACCCATATCCACAAACTTAAAACAATCCACAAACCATTGAGACAAACCTTTTATTGTCCCTACTTGGGCAGAGGAACGGGAAAAATGGGAAAAAGACGACAACTTTGCAGTTTTTAAAAGCCTGAATCAACAGCATCACCTAGTGGTCAATCAATCACCACATGCAAAAACCAACTAAAAATAATTTTAAAAAAAGCTGTTGCTTTCTCATTGAAGGAAACATATAAAATCTACTCTGGCTCTAAAAGCATCTAAAACGCATTTCAAAGAGCAGAATTTATTTCAAAATTTATTTTCATTTTATTTCTAAGAAATTGCAAGCTATTTTTCTTTGTATACAAATATTTTTCTTGTTTAAAAAACTTTCACTCCCTATTAACACCTAGTGCCTAAATATAAATTAACTACACCAACTGATTGTTACATTCACAATCTTTAAATTCCACAAATTTAAACATGAATATTAATTTACCATTAGGTCCTGTACTTCTATTCTACATTCTATACTGTCAATTTAATTCACTGAGCATCTCTAACATCTTGAATGGATGTTTCCTCTTCAGTTTTTAAAGGGCAGAGTGCCTTGTGAACTTACTCGGAAGCTTTAGAGTTTTCACCTCATGTATGCATCTTGTGCACATGACCACATATTACTATAGTTACACACTTCATTTTATCTAAGAGTAAATATCATCATTGTTCTATAATCTATTTATTTTCTTTTATTTTCCTTTTTTAATACTCTAAATTATCATCTGTTTTTCCTATTTTTTCAGGGTGAAGCAAATTAAAAGTCTGCAGAACCAGTTATTCTTCACTTATACTTCAGTGACTTGTGATGGAGACATCCCCCAGCTGACCCTGACAGAAACCAATAAGCCCCTAAACAGTGCAATACAGCATTGTATGGACCCAAAAATTCACACCTCTAGCAACAGCGCAACAGAGACAAACAATACTCAGGCAGACTGAGTTGTTTTCAAATCTTCACTAGTTATATGCAGCTTTGTGGATATCACCACACCACTCTCTGTTTTGGTGTGCACACCAATCCCAGCCCTCAGAGGTACAGAGCAAGGCAGACAACAAAAATTCATTAATATTTCTACAGAGAAATTTGCTGGGACTGCTAAGAAGATAAAGGGATCCCAGGGACACTGGAAACAAACTAACTGGCAACGGATTGAGTTTCATGGGAGACATAAAAGGAAGAAGAGAAAGAAAGAACTGCTTACGGACTCATACACTGAAAGAGACATGGCAGAATTGTATTACGCAAATATTAAAATGCACGCATATTTGAACAGTCAACATGTATTTTAGTGACATAGCTTTTGGAGAATAAGAACATCTCATTTACTTCTCTAATGCAAGAAAACATAAAGCAGAGCAATAAAGTACATTATAGAATCACAGAATCAAATAGGTTGGAAGGGACCTCTGAGATCATCGAGTCCAACCTACGACCAAACACCACCATGTCAACTAGACCATGGCACTCAGTGCCACATTCAATCTTTTCTTAAACACCTCCAGGGACCGTGACTCCACCACATCCCTGGGCAGCTCATTCCAATGCTCAGTCACTCTTTCTGAGAAGAAATTCTTCCTGAAGTCCAACCTAAACCTCCCCTGGTGCAGCTAAAGACCGTATCCTCTTGTCTTACTGCTCGTTGCCTGGGAGAAGAGAATGACCCCCATCTGGCTACAATCTCCTTTCAGGTAGTTGAAGAGAGTGATGAGGTCTTCCCTGAGCCTCCTCTTCTCCAGACTAAACAACCCCAGCTCCCTCAGCCTCTCCTCATAGAACATGTGCTCCAGACCCTTTACTAGCCTTGATGCCCTTCTTTGGACTCACTCCAGCATCTCAGTGTCCTTCCTGAACTGAGGGGCCCAGAACTGGACACAGTACTCAAAGTGTGGCCTCTCCAGTGCTGAGCACAGGGGAAGAATCACTTCCCTGGTCCTGCTGGCCACACTGTTCCTGATGCAGGCCAGGATGTCATTGGCCTTCTTGGCCACCTGGGCACACTGCTGGCTCATGTTCAGCTTCCTGTCAATCCAAACTCCCTTTCTGCCTGGCTGCTCTCCAGCCACTCTCTGCCCAGCCTGCAGCGCTGCATGGGGATGCTGTGGCCAAAGTGCAGGACTCGGCACTTGGCCTTGTTGAACCTCACACCATTTAACGGCCAGGGGCATCAACCTCTCAAGAAAGAATTTTATCACACGTTACACAAATAAGCTTCACAATGAAGACAAAATCATAAGTAAATGTAAAAAAAAAAAAAATAAAAAACTGAGGAAATCTAGCTGCAAAAGAGATGGAAGAATGCAAGACTTAGGACATGAACTACGACATACAGAAGGGCAAACTAGGCTACTGAGCCTAGTATTAAATCACATAGTACATACCTTTAAAAAAGTTCTATTTTCATAGTTAAATATATATTTTTCTCAATCCAAACTGCTTTTCACAGCATCTGCATCATTACTGTACATTTGTACCTTAACTGGCTGGCAGAGCTGTTCCCTATTACAGACCATCTTCCTCCTGTTGTCATCGCTTTATCACTACATTCCAATTTCCAACCTTGGTGAGCAGGACTTCCCCACTTACCTCCAGAGCTCTCTTGTAGTCACCCAAATGAAATGCACAGTATCCAATCCAAAGGCTGGCATCCTCCTCCTGCTCACCCACTTGCTGTTTAAACTTTGTAGAGAATAAAGAATGTAAGAATTTTGTCAGCTGCCACACAGTTTCTACAGCCCCACAGACAACCAAAGCAATAGCAGGCTATCATATATCGCGGGTGGTTTGAGAGCTGTGGATGCTACTTGGGTGCAGCTGCTTTCACATTTCTGAAGGCAGCAGCAGGTAGCCCTCTCAGGCCAAACCTGGCTCTGCGAAGCGAGGGGCCACAGCTGCCGCGGTAGGGCCCGAAGGGTGCGGGAGGAGGCGAGGGGGACGCGAGGCAGGGGAAGGGCTCCCCTCGCCCCGCAGCCCTGCAAGCATCGGCCTCGCAACGACGGTACCGCTCGGAGACCGTCACCTCCAGCAAGGCGATCGCGCCGGTAAAGTCCCTCTGGGCCAAGAGTTCTTCCAGCTGCGGCACCTCCTTCCCTTTCTTCCTCCGTCTGTCTCCCGGCGGCGGGGTACCCCCCACGGCCGGCTTGGCCCGGGAGAGCATCTGGGCAAAGAGCAGAGCGGAGCCGGGTCAGAGCGGGCCCTCGCTCGGCGGCGCTCCTCGCTCCCCGCCCCTCGCCGCCCCCCTCTGCCTCCCGCCCCGCACCCTCCCGCCGCCCCTCACCATCTTGCGGCCGGGCCCGCACTCCGCGCTCCCACGGCGGCGGCGTCGCCGGGGTAACGGCGGGGCGGCGGAAGGCGGCGGCGAACAGGCGCCGGCTGCCCACCGGGTCCGCCCCCAGGGTTCCGCCTCTGCTGCGGCGGGTGGGCGGCCGTCCGGCAGCGCCCGTGGCACTGAGGGGCGGCCCCGCGGTCAGAATCGCGCTGGTTCCTCCCCAGGACTCCTAGGCTCTTCCTCTCCCTTCCTTTGGTCCTTCTCTTGAACATCCGGGTCTCGCATTTGTGCTACAAGAGAGCAATGCAACGCTACGGGCTTGGGGCAGAGCGGCTGGAAAGCCACTGGAGGTTTAGATCGGTTATTAGGAAAAAATTCTTCACTGGAAGGGTTGGTCAGACATTGGAATAGGTTCTCCAGGGGAGTGGTGGAATCACCATTCCTGGAGTGTTCTAAAGACATGTAGATGTGGCACTTAGGGACATGGGTAACTGAGGGACCTGGCAGTGTTAGGTTTATGGTTGGACTCGATGACCTTAGAGGTCTTTTCCAACCTTAATGATTCTATGACTGAAATTACAGGAAGGCCAATACTTTAAACTACTGCTGACAACTCAGCTAACCATAACACATGTCTATGGGCAAGACTAATGAGGTGTCCTTCCTTGAGAAGAAAATGTTTTTTAATGTTTGTATTAATAAATATGTCATCATACTGCAATCATCTGTAACATAGACCAGCAGTAAAGAACGGTGTGCTGCTGCTTCGGAGAGTGGATTCCATATTCACTGTCTCACAATCACTTCAACACGGCTCGACCCAGGGATGATGCACCCAGCTTGCAACAGTCTCCGAGAGGAGAGCTGGAGCCACTGGAGCCACGGGAGCACACCACCACCATGATGGTGCCCCTTGTTCATATATGTGCTTTCATACCACAGGCCATGAAAAAGGAAGGCAAATAATCCACTCGCCTACAAAGGATATCTCTGCAAGAAATTAAATTTTGGTTTGTCAGTCAAAGTGATAAAGAATGTGTGACAGTGATTTGGTCTCCTTTTATTAGCTCTTCTCTATTACTTAAGGTATTATTTCTGTCATGAGAAAACAAGCAAGCAGACAGTACAATTAGGCATGATTATTTTCTTTTTTTAAAGAAAAAGTAACTGAAAATATAATTTCACTACATCACTTTCTTACTTTTTTTTTTTGGTGTTTTCGTTTTGTTTTGTTTTAATATAGATTCTTTCACAAGATCCTGCTGTTCTAAGAATCAACAGCTAAAATATTAAATCAAATGGAAGAAAGCTCTCAGCTGCTCCACTGATTTCTCCCATTTCCCAGTGGCTCCCAAATTTGTTTGTAGTTGATCCAAAGCTAGGGAATGCATGAGAACTACCAGATGTGCAGTGCTACTGGCTTAGCTGTGGACACTGTGGACACTGTCAACAGAGATAAAAAATGATAGCAGATAAAAAGTGAAGTTGGCCAGAATATTTTTGGCATGTGTGGTGTAGAAATTATTATTTCTACACTAAAATAGGTGATGTTATAATCTTTTCCTTATATGAAACACTAAGATGACAATTAATAAATTAAAGACATGTCAAGAAGTTTGGCCACTCTATTATAATATTGGAAAACTGCTGCAGCTCTAACCTTCACCAGTGCCATTATCTTCAAGGCTGTGAGCTGTAAAATGATTAATGATCATGTTTATTTCCACAGAGAATTGCTGGGAGAATGGGAATTGACTTACACCGATGGCAGCGAAAGGGAAGTCATGCACCCATGACTAAACACCAAGATAAGCATCAGAGAGTGCAGTCAGTGTTTAAATAGAACATCAGAGAGTGGGAAGTGAGGTCTAAGAAAAGGTGAGAAAGGAGGGGAAGGAAATAAAAAAAGGGAGAGAAAGGAAAATCAGAAAGTGGAACAAAATTCATCATATAACCAAAGCAAGAGGTTATGACATGAGCTTTACATCAGCAACAGTCATGTGCTTCAATTTCAATAATGTCTGGGTAAGTTCATGTAAATTCAGTAATGATGCTTCACCATGTTCTGCGTCTTGTACCTGTGAAAATGCATTTGACAACATTTCAAGATAAATGATATGTAAAAGTGAGAGCAATTAAATGCTCCCCTGCTAAAGGTACAAAGGCAATTCCTTGAGATGAGAAAATGGGAAATAATACCTTTAAAAACAAAGAACTGGAAGAATATTTGCCTCTTTTTTTATGGTGTTAGCAACTTCTGAGGCTTATTCTACCCTAGACCACCCATGAGGAGAGAAGGTGAAATGCATAAGTTGATAAATCATGCGCACCTTTAATGCTTTTGCCTGATCTCTATGGCCCAGCTTAAGACAGCAAAGAGCACCCATATTGGGTAAAGACCTCCAAATAGTGAGATAAAGATTCGCAATTTTTATCTGTATTTTGGAAAGCGAAACTCTTTAGTTTTCACTGGTGTTTATGTCTGCGATTTCATGGATCTGTGGGAACTGCACCTTTAGAATTTTTCTGATACTTCCAGCACCCAACCTGTCATAACGATTCAGTCAAATTAATAAAAGTAACATAAAAGCTGTCCTCGTATTTGATTTCAGCATCACAGTTAGTTAAATTTTTAGAAGTTTATTAGTGTAGAATCAAGGGAGGGGTGGCAAGACAATCTACTGATCCAGCACAAGTCAGTGTCAGAACAGAAAATGCAATGCCTGGTTAGCTGGATCCACACAAACTTATCCTAGGCAGCAAGGCACATCACTGCAAGTGCCACATCCCAGAGAATGACGTTCTACTGGTTCAGGATGCGTGCTGATATATTTACACAGTATTCCACTGATTTACGGGATCAAGTGTGCACTAGCGTAAAGATCTCATAACTCCATCCCATCACATAGTATAAACATGTATTGTGTTTAATAAAAAAGAGTTTAGGAAAACTGAAGTATACATCCAAGACATAAATTCTTACACACTCAAGCCATTTACCTTTGTAAAGAAAAACAGAAAAAATGTTTGCACATTATGGGTAGCTTATATTTGTCGCTTGACAGAGCTGTATCCTTCTGAGTCTAGAACAGAGGCAAGTCCTTATGCTGAAAGGAAAAATGTCTTGTCCCTCTGGAAACAAAGTCCTTTACGAAAAGAAAACAGTAGTTAAGAGGAAAGACTTCTTACTATTTATTTTGGTAGTATAGAAGTTACTTGGATGAATAATGCATCACAATGTGTATGTGTTGGGAAAGGGTTAAAAGGAAGAAGGCTTTCTTAATTGAGCTAGATATTGATGACGCACCGCATACTTAGCTTCATCTTCTGATATGTGCCAACATAGATCAATGGGAGGATGGGGCCACCGCCCAAGCTGCTGGGAGTATGATGCAATTCCAATTACAACTTTTCTTATCCTTGTGTGTAGTTTTCCTTTTACTAGATTGTTAACTTCTAATGAGAACAGTCAGTCCTTTGCAGTGTAATTTCATTGTAATCTGTGTCAGCAACTAAACTGTGGCAGCTAATTATGGCAGCAGTCTAAACTCTCAATAACGCATGGGAATAGCAATATTATCAGGATCAGGGCTGTACTATCAGGATCATGCATCACATGACCCACGTGTTTATAAGCCTTGTTGCTAATCAGTAGATGGTTCCAGTCCCAAAGAATAATGCTTTCAAAATATTTCTTTATATTCTTGTGTAGTAAATGAGAAAAAAAAAGATCAGTTCCGAAAAATCCACATAGCTGCTATGCAGCTGCTATACATGTATACTATATCCATGTATACAGCTGTTATATATGTGTATGTATATTATACAGTTAAATTCATAATAATTTACATTACTGTCTTCTAAATCTGGATTGTAGAAGTATTGGAAAAATATTTTAAAAGACAGAAAAACATTATTTCATGTCCTTGATCTTCTCTCTAATACTGAAAATTAAAGAAGACATCTTTATACTCTCCAGTTAGTTAGTACTATTGGTACCAATTACTACAAGTAGCAGGCTGACTGACTGGGACATCTTATACCTTCACCTAATTCTTTGGCTTCTTTGAGTTTTCTGGAATTTTCATTCCGTATCTTCTATTTTCTTTTCTATGAGTGGCCAAGTGGAAATAATGAATTGTAATTAAGTACAAAATAGATCAGGGTGCATGCCGGTAAAAAGATCCTAGAAATGAATGTGGTAAAAGACAACGCATCATACAGTTGCAGTTTTACAATATGAACGGTATAGGCAAAGGAACTCTCTGGTGCCCAGGCTGGTCTATCATTCCCATTCTTCAAGAGTTTCAGACTCTGCACAAAAAAGGAGAAGCCACTGAAATGAGGAAAGCCCTGTCACATCCACCCTTAAAAAAAGAGCTGGAAAATGTTCTGTAAAGCACTATCTTACACAGGCCAAAAGACTTAGAGGAACAAATCTTTGGAATTTTTTGCTCTTCTTTTTCCCTATCTGAGCGTCCTTGAATATTCCAGAAGACTGAGAGAATTTGTAGTTTTAGGTCAGGAAGTCAGTGCTGGTTATCAGTTTCAAATGATATCTCATTGTTTATTATCCAATAAAAGAGAAAGCAGAACAAACACAGTGCTTTAAAGTGCTGTAGAACCAGATACTAAAAGTCACTTTTCACTAAAACCGATGTTAAAGTTCTCTGGTGAGTTGAGTTGGTATTTCTAATCCAACTCAGATTGTAAGAACACCCACAGAGAACTATTACAGTGTTTTGTACCTATGCAATGTGTGCCCAAGTAATGTTGTTGGTGGTGAGGGACTGCATTTTGTCTTCAGAGAAATAAATACAGGGCCTGCCTATCTGAATTTTTGTTGTCCCCGTGCTTCTGAAGGCAAAATAAGTGATAAACTACAGGGTTTGTATTCAGTGATTCAAGGGGAGACCTCCATCAGCTGTTGGAGTTGTTGAACTCAGCTGATGTTCATTTAAGATCTGACTTTTTGGATAGACACTTGCACAGATAGTAAAAATGTGTAATGGGATCTTTTTCACCTTTCTGACAAGATAATAATAACAGTAGCTGATGCCTAGAAACCACAGA